CTGTCTTCCCTCTCTGTCTTCCTGTATTGCCATCTCTTTCTGCTGCGTTTCATTTTCAATCAAAATCGTGGAATATCGGGCTTGTCCCAAAACCCACCCCCCGCTCCCGGCCCCCCCCCCCGTCCCGCACGCCTTTGCCCAACTTTTCTAATAAGTATCTGATGGATGCAGAGTTGCCACCTTAATTTGATTACCAACACCACAAATATTTTCATTGCAATTTTCGTGACTAGAGATATTTTATGTAAAAATTCACCCACCACCCCCCACACCCACCACCCCCGCCGCCCCCCCACACCCCCTTTGCGCCATAAACAAACATTTTTCGGCGCGCTCGAAAAACAAGGACAATTTATGGTAGCGACACCGCTTTGTCGCAGTTTTCAACTTCATTTAATTTAATTTATTTTTCCGCATTTTAGGGAAAATTTATGTTGAAACTTTTGTTGTGGGCCAGCGATGATGCCGCCGTTTAATTTGCATACAATTTGAACATCAAGACACATATGTTTAGATACAGATACAGATACATTTACAGGTAACGGTGGAGGCGGTGAAGCGGTCAAGACGGCTATAAATTGCCGCTTGATGACTCTTTTTCGCCTTGGCCCTCGGCTCGGCTTCGTCTTGCAATTCGATTTCATTTTTATGGCGCATAAATTATTCAGAGTCTCTGTCTATCGGTCTATAAAATGTTGAGCTTCGTTGAGCCCGGGCCTAAGGACCGCCCACGGGGCAACAAGAAGCCAGGATTCGACCTTGTGTATCCCTTTTTTTGTTGGTGGCTGCTGCTGCTCTAAATAGACAATTTGCCCATCTTTACGCACTATTGTTTTGGCCCAGAACATTCTTTGGCCAGATATAAAAATCAGTTTAGCAGGCCCCAGCCCCGGCCACAGTTCTGGCCTTTGTTGTCGCTTTTTTTTTACGACCAAAGTGCGAGCCACGTTATGGCAAATCACTTTTCAGAGAAATACATCCCCCCTAGAAACAATGTTGTTGATGGTCTTTAAAAGAAGTCATCGAATGAATAGTAAAATTTTGAGTGGGGAAAAACGTAAAGGAAAACGGAAAACCTTTTTTTTTCCTTTGGGGCTAGGATTCAATTTAGTTTCCGGCATTGCTTTTTAATCCATTTAGAGAGAGAGAGAGGGCTCGTCGTCTCTTGACTTATTGAAAGTGCTGCCTCATTGTTTGTACATTTGCCAAGGATGCTAGCAAAAGGACGAGGCTGCTGCTGTTTTGCCCATCCAAAAGCAAATATAAATGATATTGCAGTTTTCTTTAACTGCCGGTATTTTGTTTACGGATAAACAAGCAGCTCACAAAATGGTGATTCGAGTGATTCGAGTGATTGCGAGTGATTCCGAGTGTTTGGCCAATTAGTTGAGATTAACTGCATTTCGCAATTATTTGAAAGACAGCCAGGCGAAAACCCACTCGTGTACACATCTGCACGCCCATAAACGGGCAGCAGTATCTGACAGATAGACAGACTGACAGACAGATACATTCTTAATGTATGAATAAATAAAATTTAATTTTATGGAAAAACTGACAAACAGCCGGCGCCCGGACTGGCTCTTAGAAGGCGCAAAACTGCCAGGAGAAAGGAGGAGAGAGGAGAGCGAGACGGAACAGGGAGGGAGAGAGGGAGGGGGAGTGGCAGATACATAGATTTTTGGCAAGACAAGACCTTGCCAGAAAGTCTGCTTCGAGTGTATTTGCACAAAATACGTGAAATTACGCGAAAAGTATGGTCCCTCTCTCTCTCTCTCTGTCTCTCTCTCTGTCTCTGTCTCTCTGCCAAAACACAGAGTGTCCTTAGACCCTTAGCCACCACCACACCACATTCCCTGCCATTCCCAAAGGAAAACCCTGAAAGATGACTGGGAACTTGTTATTTTTTGTCATTTAATTTCGCCCGAAATTCCACTTGCACGGATCGCCCAGTCGACAGATATACCCTTTAGGGCAGGGCACTCAAAAGCTCGCTGCTCTGGCACTAAGGCCAGGTGTTCAAACAGCCAACAGCCAGTTGTTTACTGCTTTCCGGCTCTAATAATGATCCGATTTGAACCAAATTCGGCAATCTAGCAGATATGATGGTGCCTTATGATTCGGCATTTGCTTGGGTCTTTTATCTCTAACATTTCTAATCATTTCTCTATCCCCAACACGAATGTATAACCCCTTAGTAACCTCTATCTTCTATCTGTACCCAATACACTCCTTTAAGCAGTTTCCATCGAGTCTGCTGGTATGTCTCTCAAAAGCTCACTGCTCTGGCATCAAGGCCAGGTGTTCAAACAGCCATAACGACACTTTTTTACCGATTTCCGGCTCTTATAAAGATCCGATTTGAACCAAATTCGGCAATCTAGCAGATATGATGGTGCTTTTTGATACGGCATTTGCTTGGGTCTTTTATCTTCTACATTTTTAAGGAATTTCTCCATCCCCAACACGAATGTATTGCCCGCTAGTAACCTCTATCTTCTATCTGTATCAAATAAACTCCTTTAAACACTTTCCATCGCGACTGCCGGCAGGGCACTCAAAAGCTCTCTGCTCTGGCACTAAGGCCAGGTGTTCAAACAGCCACAACGACACTTTTTTTACTGCTTTCCGGCCCTTAAAATGATCCGATTTGAACCAAATTCGGCAATCTAGCAGATATGATGGTGCTTTTTGATACGGCATTAGCTTGGGTCTTTTATCTCTAACATTTCTGATCATTTCTCCATCCCCAAACACGAATGCATTGCCGCTATCTTCTGTCTGTACCCAACATACCCCCGAGTACCCTGGACGTGCCGTGTATCCAAAATATATTGTCATGAAGGACCTTTTGTTTAATCTTTGACGCAGCAACAGCGACGTGGAGCGCGCGTGTGCTTTCCCTTTTGCCATTTCACTTTATAAGCAAATTATTAATGAGAGCTGCTTGCTTTCCATATAAGTTAATAATCCGCCGAGTAGCAGCGTCCAAAAAAACAACAACAACAACGGAAAAAATACTGGAAAAAAGCAAAAAAAAAAAAGGAAATACGATCCACCGACAGGCGGAAGAGCGGAACACTTTATGGCAGTACGAGAGTCGAGTCGGAAATCTCATTTGTCATGCTGCTGGCCTGGCCATTTATCAGTTGGCATTTAAAAAGCCATTAAAACCGAATCCGGCAGAAAGACCAGAGAAATTGAATGAAAAATAAAGCAACTTTTCCGCAGGAAACTGCCCGCAAAAGCCTGCGAAAAGTCTACAGGAATGAAAATCGAAAACCTGGAGGAAAACCTGCCTGGTTTCTCTTTTCAACAGTTTTTCCTCAGTTCCAATTCAATTCATAATTTAAAAGGCAACCGATTGCTGCCGCCCCCGCCCCCGTCCCCGTACCCGTCCCTTTCTTGGCCCTCTCCTCGGCCTGTTCTGGTGTCAGACCCATAAATTAATATAAAAATTCCTCACGCCCAGCCAATAAGTGAACATTGAAGCGTTTTATCGCCACGAACAGGCCAGAGACGAAGGCCCGGCGAAGGCTACCCACTCTCTATCTTTCAAGGATCGAAAGATGTCTGAGAAGGAGTTTGCTTTGGTCGACAGTCGACAGTCGTCGGTGTCGTCGTCGTCTAAGGAACAGTCTCCCTGGGGGCCATTGTCCGGCCCAAAAGACATTTGTGGTATGCCCCCTTGCCACCCCCCACCGTGCAAAAGAAAAACCATTAAACATTTATTTGCCACAACGAGGCAAGCTTCCATGGAAATACTGCTACAGGAATTATCCACAAAATTAATGTGAAAAATGTTTTCTTTTTTTATTTTTTATATTTTTTGCCAGTTTTGTATCTAGAATTATTCATGGCCAATTCTTGGAATCTTTCGGAAATGGAAATGGAAATGTTTTCATTTCCATTCATTCATTTTACAGCCGAAAGAACAGCTGGAATGTCAGTCAAAAATGTTGCCAAAAAATCTATAATTATTGAAATTCCATTTCTGTCCAAAAGAACAACGAAATTTGAGACCATATTTAACCTGAATTTAACGTGTAACTTTTGGCTAACGATCAAATCGTTGCGGCGGCCATCAACTAATTTCGAAAGTTTTCCGGCCGCTGCAGCCACAGACTTTTCCGAGCAATATCTGGGCCCGGTCACATGCTAAACTTTTGCAGTTTTCCTTTTTTTTTTTTTTTTTTTTGGTGTGGCTGCCAATGGCCATGGCAACGAACTGGCAACTTTGTTAATGGTTTTGTCATAAATTTTAATTCGATTGCATCTGTGGGGGAGGAGGGGGGGGGGGGGGGGGGGTATGAAAAATGCATTAGACCCGAGGAGGAGCCTAAAGCAAAAGTTTTTGATAGTGCGACTAACCGCAGAGACTCGATCGAGAGACGCACACACACAGGACACACGGAGGACACACGGAGGACCCAGAGGAGGACCCAGAGGAGGACAGGGAAAAGCCAAGCCAAGCCGCAGACGCGCAACAGCCTTCGAGGCAGTCTGTTGTTTGAAGACGAAAGACGAAAGACTCAATTAATTTATGCAGTGTGAAGTAAAGTTTGTCTCTCTCTCGCTCTCTCTCTCTCTCCTGTGGCACTCCGAGGCAAAGCCACAGTGGAGCCAAAAGACGCCTGGCAATTACAGGACGACAAAGTGAAGAGGCTGGAAAATGCGTTCAATTAATGAATTTTAAATGAATTCTCATTGTCACTTCCGTTTTGGGTGGGCAGCCACTGCCGCTGTCACACAGTGCGTATGCGCGTTGCAACCGCGAGGCCAAAAGCCCAGCGTAAAAAGGAGCCCAAAAGCCGAGATGACGAATGCCGATGAAGGATAAAAGGACACCATTGCGTGCAGCATTATCTGCCTGCCCTGTGCGTGGGTGCGTGAGGGGGATGGAGGGGGGCACAGTGGGCACGATTTAATTGTAATTTGGACAAAAACACAGAAACGAAAATAGGGAAAAATAAACACTAAAGATATCTATGGGCCGTCATTTACTTCTTTTTCTTGTCATCTTGGGACTTGGTGTCCTTGGTGTCCTTTGGTGGGGCCTTGGTGTCCTTTGGTGGGGCCTTGGTGTCCTTGCTGTCCTTTGCCTTGGCCTTTGGCTCCTTGGTTTCCTCCTGATCCTTGGTCTTCTGGCCCTCTTGAGCTGCAGCCTTCATTTCCTCTGGCTTCTGCTTCGAATCCTCCATCTTTTGGGTCTCCCCGTCCGGCCTTCAGTGGAGCAAACCCCTCATCAGTACTCGCCCGCAGTTTGGCGGCCAACAGCCCCCCGTACTTACTTGACAAAAATGGAGAGCGGATCCAGGGTTACCTCGGGCTCCTTGAACTTGGGAAACTCCAGCATATCGACGCCCTCGCCGCCGCCGTATTTGAGGGCCAACTTCTCCAGGGTCTCGTTCAGCTCCTTCTCGAACTCGGGGCCCGCATCGAGCGGCTTGCCGGTGGGGCTCTTCTCGCGGTACTCCTTGACCTTCGCCAGGAAGATCTCATAGATGGGGTCCTTGTAGCGACGCTCCGCCGACACGGCGATTGAGCGGCGACAAAACAGAGAGAAATTCGAGACGCACAGACGAAACATTGTTTTGTGGGCAATCAAATGAAATCAAATGAGACTGAAACGGGTTCGGAAAAGCCTGCTGGGTTATGGGGAAACACAGTTCCCTTTTGCTTTCGAAAAATAACAAGAAAATGCCGCCAGGCAGTCAGGTGCGTCCTGTGGCTGGGCTCCTCGGGCTCCTCGGGCTCCTCAAGGATCAGCGACAGGACAGGCGACATCCGAAATGTTTTATTGTTGTAACTGTCGTCCTGCTGGGGATAATATATAGTCCGCGGCACACACAAATCACATGCAACCTCCCCCCCCCCCCCCGTCCCCTTTGTCCTGAAAATGAAGTGGAACTTGGTGGCTGCGCACGTGCCCGCTTTGGGCCTGGTCTTTGCCTTGGAATTTGAGTTTCGGGCACCAAATGATGTTAGCCTAAGAGGTGCGCGTCCATAGAGGGTATCCGTGCCCCGCCGCCACCCTTTCTCTCTCTCTCTCTCTGTCTCTCTCTCTGCCCCTATCCTGTGTCCTGCGTTTTGTCGTTTGTCCTTCCTTCCTTCCGTTTGAGCAAATGTTTTGTTAGCGACGCGGGCCTCTTCTCCAAAGACTTCCGTTCTGCGAAAAATTATGCGGAAACGGAAGACCACAATCGAGGGGGTGGGCGGGGGGTGTCCGTGTGTGTGTGTGTCGGTAGTGGCACGTGTCCTGGCTGGCTGCCTGGGATCCACTTTGTCATCAGGTTGAATTAGAGGACTATTCAATTTTCATTATTAAATAATGAACCCCCCCCCCCCTCCCCCCACCCGAAAAGCATTGATGGATGTACGTGAGAGCCTGGAAGAGAATTAAATGCACATAGTGCGTGTCCTTCAACGAAGGATATCCCTCAAGCGGCTCGGATGGAAATTGTAATTAAATTTGTGACCCATCTATGCCATAAATCTCCGCTCCAGGCGGCAGCTGCTTGAACACCTGGTCCTGGTCTGCCACAGAGAGAGAGAGAGAGAGAGAGAGAGAGAGCGGAGCGAAGATCTTCGTGTCGCCCCACGTGTGCTGCGACTCTCCTTTGGCGATAAATCAAAGCGAAATTCACATAATTTTCATCGTTTTGCACACACACAGCACTCGTCCCTTTTTTGGGGGGGGGGTGGTGCGGGGGTGGGTGGTGCGTGGGGGTGGTTTTTTAAACGTTAAACGTTTCAATAAAGTCGAGCACCTGTCAATAAATCGAAATTGCCTTCTCGTATTATTTTTATCGGCTACGTTTTCTGGTTTACATTGCACGTTGGTGGCGCCACACACAATCTGCTTCACATTTCACAAGACTGCCACAGGGGCCACGCCCCTTCCTACCGTTCCATGTGTGCGTCTGTGTTGGCCCTATCTCTTGTCGTTGAGGTTGAGGTTCAGGGGGGGGGGGGGGGGGTTCATCCTTCGTCCTCGTCAGCGCCATCATCTTCTTCCAGCTGAGCGCGTCCTGCGGGTGCGGGTGCGGGTGCTGCTCCTGCTGCTCCTTCTACTCCCATCACCTGCTCCTCCACTCCTGCGGTTTTCCACTCTTCTGCTCTCTCTCTCCTGCCTTTCGTCCTGCTTACAAGTCCAAGTTCTGGGTTTTAATTCACTTTTTGGCAATCGAATTGTGGGACAGTTTTCATGCCGTTCATTTCGTTCGTTTCTGGCTTTAATTACGGCCCGGACTGGGCCCCTTTGAAGTATGTATTTTGGCAGTGCTTTAATTTTAATCCACTTGCCGCTTAAAAGGCGACCAAGGCGAGTGCCATTTTTACGAGCGCCTCGGCAGCGCCTTATGAAAATTTAATAAGCATTGAGAGGGGCAGCAGGGGGGGCCCAGAATGAAGGATGTATATGTGGCAGGGAGAAGTCGCTTGCCATTGGACATATCCGTATAATGAGAGTGCCGGAAAATCTTTTCGGGGGGCGGCAGGGGGGGGGGGGGGGAAGGAGACAGCGACTCCACCGCAGCGACTGCTTCTCCGCCTTCTCGACACACACACACACACACACACGCATGTCATGTAAAAAGATTATTTAACAAGCAGCAAAAGCAGGAGAAAGCAGAAGAAAGCAAGCTTAAAAATGAAATGCGTTTCTCCTTTTCACATGAATGCCAGTCGAATGGCAGCGGCACAGTGGGTCCAAAACGGGGCACAGACACACGGCAGAGGCTCGGCCAGGAGTGGCCCTCAGGCCAGGTGTTCAACGAGCCAAAAGGAGTCGATCTAAGGCGGTTTCGGCCCTCACGTAGATATATACATTCCTTGTGATTCCTCCATCGATTGCCCCCCAATTTGCATTGGATTTTTCCCACTGTCGCCAACAGTTGGGGCTCCCCTTCCCCCCCTCCCTTTCTGTCGTGTCGTTTCACAGGCAACAAACAAGCGAAATATTATTTACGAGCTGTCAAATCCCAGTTAACGTTGCGCGTACGCTGAGCGACCCAAGGACGTCTCTTGTCTCTGAATTGAGAGTGTGTATCTGTAGCTGTATCTGTAGCTGTATCTGTATCTGTATCTGTATCTCTGTGTGTGTGTATCTGTATCTGTTTGTTTGCTGTGTGGCCGCATAGTTCGCCAAGAGACAGCTGTAGATGGGACCCGCTGCTGCCACAGATACAGATACAGATACAGCCACGAAAGATACAGTTACAGCTACAGTGCGTTCCAAAAGTGTGCCACAAGACGTCGTCTCGCCGTAGTCGTGGGGCAAGGGGGGCACGGGGCAGCCTAATAAAATAAAAAGCATAAATGAAAGCAAAATGGAGGCAAAAAATAATTTAAATTTATGTGCCCCTCCCCCCCCCCCCTTTCGGTCTCCTCCGTGTCCTTGATTTGTTTGCAGCGGAAAAAGCATTAAATTCAATCTGTGGCAGTGTGTGTGTGGCTGCCACTCAGCGTCAACTACAGCCCGAATGAAGGAGCGTAGCGTCCTGGCAAGGACAAAAGGGGGGCAGCCACTGGGCCACCGGGCGACCTGTTGTCTTGTTTAAGGAATTACTTAACCTGGTAAATGCATATCCCTGCCCGTGTGTGTGTGTATTTCGGTGTATACCCCGTAATCGAGGGTCTCCAGGGCAGGCCTCCTCTGCCAGCGGTTGGTGGACCCCAAACGAACCAAAAACCTGCCGAATTGGCTCCTTATTTAGGCCAAAATGGTGCTCTTTGAACACCTGGCCTCTTGATTAACACCCAAGGCTAGAGCAGTCAGCTTTTGAGGGCACGGCGGACCCCGTTTTATCCCCAATTCCTGGGAATTTCCTTTGCTTTATCGAAGGCTCTTTATTCCAGGGCATCCCTGCGGGTGGATCGTGTTTAAAAACTCTGGCTCTGGGCCCTCAAGGGTGTGCCATCGTGGCCTCTTGGCAAATTTGTACGCGCTGTTGCTCTCCCCATTTTCCCCCATTACTTGCTCTCTCTCTCTCTTCCCCACTCTGTCTCTCTGTCTGTCTCTCTGTCTCTCTGTTCATTGTCCCCGTCTGGTGTGTCTGGCTTTTGGGAGTGCGCTTGACAATGCGTGCGGCAGGATCTACGACAAGTTTTCTCCTCAAAAAGTGAGACAAGTGGAAATCCGTTAAAGAAAATACGGGGAAAACACACACACACACATAAAGGATCTCTCTCCTGCTCTTGTCACATAAATATGCTCGTGCGTGCGTGTCTGTGTCTGTGTGTGGCACAAAGAAATGTCGTTGGCAGCACATACAAAAATTAATTGAAAAAATGTTTATCTTAAGGACTTTTCATGAGATACAACTTTTGGGGGCCATGCAGTGGCCTTGGAAACGAAACGGGGGGCTGGAGACCAGGGAGGGAGAGAAGATATAGATACAGATACAGATCGTCTCTAAGAAAGATAGTGCATCGATACACCCTGTGGGTCCAGAACTATCGATGGGAAAAGAGAGAGTTGGGCACTTTTTAAAGGGCGATCGGTAGGAGGGGCAGGGCAAAAGGAGCTTCTAGCCGCTTTTTCCAGACGTTCCCCCTCGTCCCTCGAGGCCACTAGCCGAAGAAATATCTCTGGCAGATGGAAAGATAGACTTTCGCCTTGGGATTTGTCTTCAGGCGACTGTTTGGTCCTCTTTGAAGGGGAAGCGGTCCATCCTTCCTGCTTGCGGGTCCAACCCCAAAGACTGTTTGATCCTTTTTGAAGGAAAGAAGGCGAAGGGTCCACCCCCAAAGCCATGTTCGATGCACCAGCGGCTCAAACAGGGATCGATTGGCCACTCAATCGCTCAAGAGGCCCCTCCCAAGAGGCAGAAAGAGGGCCCCCTCCCCTCCCAAGAGGCAGAAAGAGGGCCCCCTCCCCTCCAAGAGGCAGAAAGAGGGCCCCCTCCCCTCCCAAGAGGCAGAAAGAGGGCCCCCTCCCCTCCAAGAGGCAGAAAGAGGCCGCCCTGTGACCGAGAGAGTAAGAGAGACATCTGTGGAGGGCGACTTGCGGCTCTGTGGATCCCCCACCAACCCCACCCCCTGCCGAAGGGGAGGATCATTGTCCCAATGGAAATTTGCTGAAAAGCGGAAGTGCTCGGTTCTCGGTTGTCGGTTGTCGTCTCTAAGCTTCAGGCTTAAGCCGCGTGCCACACAAAATGCATGCCATCACGGAGCACATGCCACATGCAGCTCATATCAAATGCAGCCGGTGGCAGTGGCAGTGGCAGCATCACTCTTCTATGCCACACAGAAATTCGAATTAAAATAGTTGCATCGCACACACAAATACATATATATATATATCGTATATATATTCGCGACGAGAACTAAAAATTATGCAATGCATTAAAAATTTAACAAGCGCTTATCCGCTTAGTGCCACACGCCAGCTGCAACATCCAACGGCCGATGGTGCGACGCGTCACTTTCAATATTTAAATTTTTTGACATTTTCACCAATTTCGGGGGGCACGGATGGGGGGGGGGGTGTTAAGTGTGTGGTGTGTGTGGCGTGTGTGGCATGTGCATTGGGACATGTGCCACATGCGGCACGAATATGGCATTCAATGCAAATTGGGCAGAAATAATATGCAAACATTAGCCA